TAAAAATGCGAATATAAGGAGGAGAGGGTGTATAGACAGCTGACAAATGCTGGGCATTAGCAGTGTTTCTCCAGACCCCTTTCTCCCCTTTCCCCCCCTGGAAATTTTAGTACACCCCCCCCCCCCCGGAAAGTGTTGGCAGTTGTAATTTTTCGGAGTACTAAAATTTCCGTTGGAAAGAGGGGTGGGGTGGGGTGGACACTGTTAAAAGTATATATTTTTTATATAAATTCCATTTCGTTCGGAGGGTGGGGGTGGTAGACCTTCTCCGAGGGGGGGGGGGGGCTCCTGGAAGATGCCCCACAACTGTGCTGTGGCCAGTCCCGTGGCATTGGTTCCATGCTTTCCACTACCGAAGTGCATAAAAGTGTAAGTGGCTCTTTAAAAATGCCCCACAACTGTGCTGTGGCCAGCCCCGTGGCAATGGTTCCATGCTTTCCACTACCGAAGTGCATAAAAGTGTTAGTGGCTCTTTAAAAATCGGGAAATTTTGTAGATTGTAACTCATAAAGTTGCCGACCCCTGCGTCACTATTTGAATGGTAGAAAGAGATACACACTTCTAAACCCACCCCCTCTCCTCCACGCCACCGAACTGGCGGATAAATCAAGGGCAGCTTCCATTCATAGCCAGGGGTCAATTTTGTGTCATGGAAAATGTTGGAATGATGGATCAGTATGCGTATTACAGAGACCCCTTTTCCCACGGTCGTTTCTGTTTCTGGCCATGGGTGGCTATAATGTCAACCCTTGACTTCGCAGTAAAAAGAAACCGAGTTGCACACCATATTTTAGTCTAGTTCTTATGCCATTTTATTTCTCCATTCAATTACTATATAAATGTTCACGTCTTTGAAGCTGTGTAAAACTACCAAATTAATTATTATTACTATTTTAAATGTTTAAAATAAATAAATTTAAAAAAACAAAACAAAAAAACAACCAAAACCAACTGTGGGAGGATTGCTATAGATGTTTGAAAGGGAAGTATGTTTGATTTGGTGTGTCTCATTGTAATCAACATAACATTGCGGCTGCTTAAGACTTTTATAATTATAGTTTTCTGTAATCCTAAATTTATTTCAGCTCTACTTAAAAGCCATAACCCCCGTCAGCCCACCAGGCAGATGAAAAAAAAAATCTCTTGAATCATCATTTAATTACATATTTGCATTTTCAGGTTGTTTTTTTTTTTTTAATAAAATTGTAATTAGACATTTTGTATTAGATCTATGTACAAGTAATCATCTTAATGAAAGTAGGTTACAAGTAAAAAAGAAATATTAACATCCTAAGGATCATTATGAATTAATTTAAGCCAATATTCCTATACTACCTCTGACGAACTTAAATTCTGACTCTAGAAATGCTACAATTTTTTACATTGTACCTTTAATTTTCAAGATTGTGCATACAATTTTCCCTTTGTTACAAAATACTATTGCTGTACCTTCAACGTATGAAGCGCCATCCAGTAGTTTAGAATTAAAGAGAGCTATTAAAAATCAAAAAAAGGTTTACTAGCAGAGGCGTAGCGACCCTTCCAGGGGGGTAAGGGTTAGGGTTAGGGGAATGTATGGATGGATGTGTGTCCGCAGCTTTAAGTCGTCTTTAAGTCGTATCAAGTCGCTAAGTGGTCTGGTTGCCGAGATATGGGCCAAAAACTGCATTTTTTTTCAAAGTTTTTTGGCTTTTCCGGGAAATCCATGAAAGAAACTCGGAATTTTTTTGGCCTATGTTCATTCTCGTAACTTGCTTAACATATTAGCTTTTGGAACTAGTCCTCGATATTGCTTCGTTGAGGAGGAGATACGACTTAAAGCTGCGGACACACATCCATCCATCCATCCATTCATCCATTCCCAGAAAAGACGAGTTAATAAACGCAATTCTCCAGAATGGAAATTGCGCTAAAAATAATAAAAAGTATTTTTTCCACTCATGTAATGGTTTTATTTGGTCATCTATCGAGGAAAGCGGTACCAAGGGAAGTAATTAATAAACGTTTTTAGACACTTTTAGGATTTTAGTGAAGGGTGATACTACAGTTAATTTGATTTTGTTCTATTCAAGTCACGTCATGTAAAATGATACATTAGAAAAATTAAATCTTAAAAAAACAACACATAAATATTGATATTGTTAGACATCAAATTTAGATTTTCGTAGAAAAATAATAATTTTATAATAGTTAAGAATTTTACACAATAAGGATCGAGTTTTTTAAAATTATATTTATATTTGTCACAAACATACATGTTACATACAATATAGAGCAGAGGCGTAGCGACCCGGGGACAAACTTTCAATTTGCCCCCCCCCCCCCTCGGAAGCAAATTTTTAATTTGCAGTCCCCCCCCCCCTCAACTTTTCGATTAGCACCCACCCTCAAACTTTGGATTTGCACCCCTCAAACTGCAAAAATGACATTTTAATTTCTTTTTACAACCCATTTTGGCGCCCCCTAAGGTCGGCGCCCGGGGACATATGTCCCGCCCTGCCCCCCCCCCCCCATCGCTACTCCTCTGATATAGAGCCACATAGTTTATTTCACACATACACTCTCTCCGTGCCTCGTCAGACACATCTACCCCCCCCCCCCCCACCTACGAATATCATCCTCAGGCATGATAACCCCACATCCCTTTTAGCTGTTCCAACGACCTCACCACCCGCCCCACCATCAGTTTCGAATAATTATTCATTTACTTATTTGTCAGTTTTGCAATTCACTATTGTACAATTGTAAATGAAATCCTTGTAAAACAACAAATGTGTGTTTGTGACTACTCTACTGGTTATTCATTGTACAGAATGGGATGAAATCCATGCAAACCAGCTCTGTTTTCGACTATTTTTCCATACGTTATACTCTTTCACCACTTTTGTTAGCAAAAATGTTCCAAACCAGCCTCTGTCCAATTTTTGAACCAACAAGCTTTAAATTCTATGTATCTTTTGTATTCATTTGCTTATTTCGCTATTAATTTACTATACTCTGTACATCAATGTAACTACCTTGTAAATATCCTCCCAACGGTGTAGAATGTTACTGTATTTGTTTTAAATTGGAAAATAAAAAAATTTAAAAAAAAGTTTATTTCATTTTTATATATTAGATATAGACGTGACACAATCATATAAAAGACAATGTGACATGATCATGGTAAAGATAAGATTACATGATCACTTTATTCTCTAACATCAAAGCCAAGTTCTAATCAAAATATAACACACATTAATTGTTTTACAATATTTTATTAAGCCCAATAAAAAGCCTAAAACGTTTTTTTTCTCTCCTTAAATCATGAAAGAAATAAAATAAACTGCAACACACAGAAATTACTCGCGCTTGTGTTTGATGCAAAAAATCAGACAACTGCAACCTAGAAAAGCAAGGTTATTTTTTTTAATATTATAATATTAAATCATAGTTATCATCAGTGGCGTAGCGAAGTCGGGTGTCACCCGGTGCGGCACTTAATGGTGTCATCCCCCAGAGGCGTAGCGACCCTTCCCGGGCACAAACTTTAAATTTTAGATTTGAACATCCCCTCCCCCTCAAACGTTCGATTTGCACCCCCCCCCCCCCCTCAAACTTTCGATTAGCACCTCTTAAAAGACTATTTAACACTAGGATTAATCACTTAATTAAGTGGAATTATCATTTTTCTGTATATATTTTACCTTTGCCTTGGTGTCACCCCCCTAAATGGTGTCACCCGGTGCGGTCCGCACCCCCGCCCTCTCCCCCCCCCCCATCCTCGCTACGCCCCTGGTTAACATAGTACTTAATTCGCTGAAATGAACTTCGTTAACAATCGATATTTAAGCCTGAAAACAGCTGTTTCCCGATTGATTACTTCTAAGCAACGTCAGCAATGTATGTGCTATATATATATATATATATATATATATATATATATATATATATATATATATATATATATATATATATATATCCAGCTTGTTCCATTGTGTCCACTGTATAACGTTTTATTTTTTCATAATCCAGTCTATGGCCAGGAGGAACAGGAATGGTGAAAGTAGGCAACCCTGCCTTATCCGGTCCGTTTAGGGAAGGCTTCATTAGTCTTTTGGCCATGCAATACTCTACATTTTAGACTTTCATATAAGGAAAAAAAATAATGTTGACTATTTTTGGGGCACCCTATAGTGCCTCAACAATTTCCACATTTTGTGTGACCTACCCTGTGCAGATCATCCTAGCTTGGCTGAACCTGCCATTGGTGTAGATCTGACAGTCATTAGGACAGAGGCGTAGCGACCTAGGGCGGACTATAAGTTTTGCGCCCCCCCCCCCCCCCCGCCCCCCAGTTTCTGTTTCGTTGTAACAAAATCGATATAGAAAACAATTACGTCAGTGTGTAGTTGTTTCATTTCGTAACTTTGACTGTGAATAATTAAAAACTTAAAATTCAAATGACATTTTAAATGAATTTTTACCACACTTGGCAGCCACTTTTATCAACCACACCAGGCCATATTCCGAAAGACGAGACTAGCAAAAAAAATTATATATATATATATATATATATATATATATATATATATATATATATATATATATATATATATAATTTTAGAATTTCATATTTGCTGTGTGAAAGTTACCATAAAGTTAAGGGAACTATCTTCCGATTTTTTACTTTCTCGTATATGCGAAGTATAGAGAAAGTCTTGTAATCGTGCAAAAAAAAAATCGAGATTTTTGCAAATCTCGACGTTTTACACCTCACTGATACGGAAAAACATAATTTTTGCAATCTTGTCCGTATGTCTGTGTGTATGTCTGTCTGTCTGTCTGTGTGTGTGTCTGTGTGTAAACACGATAACTTGAGTACCGTTACAGCTAGGTTGATGAAATTTCATATATAAGTATTTTATCAAAATCGTAGATCCGTATCAACTTTTTAGCGATTTTCAATAATCGGAAGTAGTACTTTTTCTACTTTGAATTTTTCAAAAGCCTATAACTTGAGTACTATTTCAGATAGATAAATGAAATTTCACATGTAAGTAATAGATTTAATTTTCAACCTTCTATCAAATTTTGAGTAATTTTCGTTGACCTAAAGTACTAATTTACGCTATTTCCGATTTCTCAAAAAACGCAAGTAAATTTATAAAGTACTAATAATATTGCGCACTATTATGCACATTTTGTTTCGGCGTTTGTTTGGTGCGCAATGTTTTTTTCTATGAGATTCTTTTCTATTTTTAAAAGTTTAAGTAATTAAAAATCATGTCTACATTCCAAGTTATATAAGAATATTCGAGAAAGTTTAGGGGAGATCACTCCCGGTTTATTAAAATTATATATTTTTCTCTTCCGTGTAAATCTCTATTTTCCTTGTATAATATGTTTGTCGCTTGAGCTACAATATGATTAAGAACAACATTTTTGGGCTAGATTTTTAAATTTATACTTAACTTTCAATTAATATGTTACAAAAATTAACAAACATTTCTAGTCGGAGTATAATTTCACACTAGGGTACAATTATAGCTCCTTAAACATAGTACCAAATTTTGTAATGCCCGAAAGATTTTATAAATAATAAACACTTAATTTTACATTATCTACAGTTGCAATATACTACAAACAACACGTTTTACTAAAACAATACTGAGCACACAGTATAGTATTCAGATAACAGTCGTTGCACAGTTTGCTAAGCATATATTGTTTGAATGAACAAGAAATAAGTTTCAAAAACACGAATAAAAAAACAACTTGGTAATTTTTTTTCCGCGAACTTGTTTAACATTGTGACAGGGCACGAAGTAGACAAAAGAAACTGTTACAGAGACACAAATTCATTTAATTACCTGCATGTATATCCCTGGCAACATTTTAATTTGGTATGAGCACAACTATCCAAATATCTCAGGCAGTTGCTGGTGGTTCAAACACACAATAGAAGGAGAACAAATAGGATATAAAATCAAACTGTATATACAGCAATAGGAAAGTTTTTAGTAGTGTAGTCAAAATATTATAAGAAGACGGGGCAACAATAAGTAGTTAAAGATAGGGGAGGACTGGACCGCCGTGCCACATGAAAAAAATCTGTGGGTCTCTGCTTTAGAGATCAGGGGGAGGGGGGAATGAACGAAGCTGTGCTGGTAAATTTATTGCTTGATCTTTTAAAATTTGAATTGCCGGGTAAATTTTTATCTAGATTAAGATGATAATCAGGCGCTGGTGGGCAAAAAAATGCACAATACAAATTTGAATCTGGGGTTGGGGTCAATTTTGTAAACTACCCTGGCCCAACCATGGTTGAATATGTGGAAAAAGTAACAACATACCGTTTCTCTAGCTGTTCCGCTATAAAACGTTAAAAAAAGAACCGACAGTTAAGATATCAAAGAAATTGATGTTTTGTATAATACGAGACTTATAATAGTAAACACATGAATGTTTAAAACAGTAAACCTTTAAACGTATTGTTTTTTGAAAACGATTTCTTAGCATAAAACAGTATTAAAATCCTTACAATCTTACACACACGTACCTAGACACACATTTTTTATATATATATATATATATATATATATATATATATATATATATATATATATATATATATGTATATATATATATATATATATATATATATATATATATATATATATATATATATATATATATATATATATATATATATATATATATATATATATACATACATATATATATATATATATATATATATATATATATATATATATATATATATATAGGGCCTATATATATATATATCATTCGTATATATAAACTATCAAACATTCCCAATACAACAACTTTTAATCAAATACTATATCAAGATATCAAGGACTATTATGTCCTCCTTCCAAGCTAGAAATAAAAGGTAAATAAAGAACAAGATATGGACAAAGCAGCCGGCCTAGAGTATTTACTCAACTAGTAGTGAAGTATAATTCCAGCACTTTGCTCCTAAGGGGCTCCAGAACATTATAGTTACACAAGTCAACGTATACTAATACAACATGTTATCATACTACCTCTGTTGGTCAACATGAACGAAGTGGCTGTTGCAAGCATTACCATCAGGAACACAACACCTTTAATGTTCAACATGTTCGTGTTTTAACTTCGACAGCTTCGCACTGAATGCTAAGGTAGTGTGGTGTGATGGCAGTCGATATGCAATTTATAATGTAAGAAGAAACGGTGTTGTAATGAAACAAATAAATAGATGGATTACCATTGACATAAATCTAATGTATAGTGATTGTTAATCTAAGTAGGCTTTAGGGGCAATTCGTGTCTTTAAGTTTAATATATAGACCTATATACATATATATATATATATATATATATATATATATATATATATATATATATATATATATATATATATATATATATATATATATATATATATATACTATATATATATATATATATATACATATATATATATATATATATATATATATATATATATATATATATATATATGTGTGTGTGTGTGTGTGTGTGTGTATGTGTGTGTGTGTGTGTGTGTTTCGACCAGCGCACTAGGAGCTGGTCAAGACGGGTCTACGACAAATTCCCGAAAGACACTTGCCCGAATGCCGTTTGCCCGAAGGCCGATTTCCCGAATTGACAGTTGCCCGAATGCGACAAATGCCCGAATGGACACTTGCCCGAATGCGACAAACGCCCGAATGGACACTTGCCCGAATGCGACACATGCCCGAATGGACACTTGCCCGAATGCGACAAATGCCCGAATGGACACTTGCCCGAATGCGACAAATGCCCGAATGGACACTTGTCCGAATGCGACAAATGCCCGAATGCCACTTGCCCGAAGGCCGTTTGCCCGAAAAATTTTAACATTATATATTACCAAATAATCATTCGTTATCAATTTAAATTTGAAATGTTGATAAACAAAACCTATCTACGCAAAAAGAAAGGAAAAAATAATATTATATATTACCATGAAGACATTTTAAATTAATTTGTATTTGCTATATAAAAGTTGTAGAAACATACTTTCTCCTCCATCTTTAAACAAGACAAAAAATACAATTTTCGTTTTTCACAAGTTTTTAAAATAAATTTTGCTTTCTTTATTAAGTAATCGCTTTAACTAGTTTAACACATTGTCTAAACAAGGTGCATTAAATGGAGAGCAACCGTATTTGACTATATTTAGTTTTTAAATTCGCCGCCTAGACCACGTCTCGTTCTGTTGTGAAATTATCACCATACAAGTTAAGCATAACAAGATAAATTAAACAATCGCGCCTCTGTTCAATGTTGCGAGACGCCGCGCCGCCTACGCCGTGTCATAAGCGCTATATAACCACCGCAATACGGTCGGCTATACAAGGTGTTCAAAACTTACATCAAAAGAATGTTAGGACATCGCCGCCAACATCACCTTACATTTATGAAAGAATAAAGTTGTTTTTTTACAGTAATTTCTCAATTTTGAAAAAAAAAATAAAAGCTAAATTTTAAAATTACAAAGACATTTTTAATGCTTAGAATTGTGTTTATTATCAAAATATCAATATTAAACTGATAAAGAATCTCCAATTTGGTAATATTTTTTTATTATCTAATATTAACATTTTTCGGGCAATGGGCCTTCGGGCAAGTGGCATTCGGGCATTTGTCGCGGGCAAGTGTCCATTCGGGCATTTGTCGCATTCGGGCAAGTGTCCATTCGGGCATTTGTCGCATTCGGGCAAGTGTCCATTCGGGCATTTGTCGCATTCGGCAAGTGTCCATTAGGGCGTTTGTCGCATTCGGGAAAGTGTCCATTCGGGCATTTGTCGCATTCGGGCAAGTGTCCATTCGGGAAATCGGCCTTCGGGCAAACGGCATTCGGGCAAGTGTCTTTCGGGAAAACGTCCGGCTCCCGGTCAAGACAGAATTTGCTATTTTGTATCCTATTTGCTTTCCTTCTATTGTGTGCTGGAACCATCAGTAAATGCCTGGGACAATTGGAAAGTTGTGGTGGTACCAGCTTAAAATGTTGCGAGGAATATAGATGCAAGTAATTGAATTTGTGACTCTGTTACAGTTTCTTTTGTCTATTTCATGGACAAATGTTAAATACCTGGGCTTTTTTTTTCGTGTAGACTATGTTCAACTTAATTATTATTCATTTAAACATATATTCTAAACAAACTCTGCAACGACTCTTATAGTGAAAAGTGTTTTTGTAGTATATTGGAGCTGTAGATAGAGTAAAATTATAGACCGAATTTGTCGGCCACTTTAATTTAAAGTGGCCGACAAATTCGGTAAAAATTAATTTAAAATCTCATTTTAATCTGAAGTTTTGAATTATTCACAGTCAAAGTTACGAAATGAAACAACTACTGTAATAAATCATTACACCAGGCCAAACCCTCAATGATGGTTCTAGCAAAAAAAAATACACAAAACACACACACACACACACACATATATATATATATATATATATATATATATATATATATATATATATATATATATATATATATATATATATATATATATATATATATCTTTATATAAAATGTAATTTGCGTTACATGAATGTGTTACATTTCATTTTCCTTCTTTGTAACTCAAGGGAGGTAATTTGTTTATCAGTAAACAAAACAAAAAATTATTACATATAAGAAAATGGAAAATGTTATCTAAAAATGATTACTATGGAACATTCATATTTTGAAAGTAGTGTGGAACTTAAGTCTATTCTTTTTAATGCGAATTTTTAAAAAAATTAATAATCAATAATAGTTTAAGTAGTGAAGTATTAGCCATCCTACACTTATTATATGTTAAGTTGTAAAAAGGTAGATTTAACAATATTCCATCAGCTATGAAATTTTGAAATATTTATTTTCTTTTATCAAAACAGTAGTTTTTACTACAGTTTTCACCAAACTGGACTGGCGGTTGATAGATCAAAGGCAGCGTACGCTCAACGCCATGGGTCAATTTAGTGTGAAGAAAACTTTTGGAATGATAGATCAGTATGAGTATTACAGAGACCCTTTTGGTTTCTGGCCATGGGTAGCTAGAACGTCAACTTTTGACTTGGCAGCTTGTGATGGAGCACAGTAAACAAAGCAGTCAAAAGAAACTCTTATGCCATTTTATTTTCTCCATTTAAAATACTATATATACAATTGATGTTCATGACTTTGAAACTGTGTAAAACTATCCAATACATTATTATTACTATTTTAAATGTTTAACATTTTTTTTATTAAAAAAACAACAACTGTGGGAGGACTGCTGAAGATATAGATGTTTGTAAGGGAAGTATGTTTGATTTTATGTGTATCATTGTAATCAACTTAACATTCCAGTTGCTTATTATATGTATAATATTATTTTTCTTTAATTCTAAATTTATTTCAGCTCTACTTAAAAGCCCAAACTACCTTAACCCACCACTCACATGGGGAAACTTTCTTCTTCTTCTTCTTCGTTCTTAATTATTAGTGATGAAGGGGATAGAGATTTATCTGCCAGTGGATTTGAACTCGAGACTTTGTTCGAATTTATCAACCATGAGCTTTTTGCCGACTCGACCACGCCTCCAACACAATTAAGCGTTACGTGTCAACTGGTTATGCGCCATTGAGGCCATTGACTCCGATTTCAGCCTGCTTTTCTTTTTGGATTTGCTTCCATAGCCTTTGTCCATCCAAGAACAAACTACAAGGCAGCAGTTGTTTAATTTTGGAGTTGTCTCTCCTAGAAGAGTGGCTGCCCCCAACCCGAGGGTTCGAACTCGAGACTTTTCGGTTGAGCAACCATGAGCTATACCGACTCGACCACGCCGACTCCCTACATGGGGAAACAAATCCATTGAATTACCATTTAATTACACATTTGCATTTTCAGGATTTTAGAATAATATTGTAATTAGATGTTTTGTATTAGATCTATGTATAAGTAACCCATCTTGAATGAATGAAAGTAGGCTACAAGTAAAAAAGAAGTATTACTATTGTGCAGACCTTTGACCACAGGTGCTTTGACCATAGGGGTTTGACCATAGGTGGTTTGACCACAGCAGGGCTTTGACCACAGGGGGTTTGACCATAGGGGCTTTGACCATAGGGGGTTTGACCATAACGGAGCTTTGACCATAGGGGGTTTGACCATAGGTGGTTTGACCACAGGTGTTTTTTCAGCAGTGGGTCTTTGATCACAGGTGGTTTGTGAACGGGTGTTTGATCACAAGAGTTGTTTTCGGCTTTGACTATAGGTGTATTGTCCACATAGGTTCTTTGACCTGCCTCTGTAGTCTGCCACTTATTTTGTTTGTAGTTTGCCTATTGGTTTGCCTGTAGCCTGCCACTTAATTTGCCTGTAGTCTGCCTATTGTTTTGTCTGTAGTCTGCCACTTATTTTGTCTGTAGTTTGCCTATTGTTTTGTCTGTAGTCTGCCACTTATTTTGTCTGTAGTTTGCCTATTGTTTTGTCTGTAATCTGCCACTTATTTTGTCTGTAGTTTGCCTATTGGTTTGCCTGTAGTCTGCGACTTAATTTGCCTGTAGTCTGCCAATTGTTTTGTCTGTAGTCTGCCACTTAATTTGTCTGTAGTCTGTCTATTGTTTTGTCTGTAGTCTGCCACTTATTTTGTCTGTAGTTTGCCTATTGGTTTGCCTGTAGTCTGCCACTTAATTTGCCTGTAGTCTGCCTATTGTTTTGTCTGTAGTCTGCCACTTATTTTGTCTGTAGTTTGCCTATTGGTTTGTCTGTAGTCTGCCACTTATTTTGTCTGTAGTTTGCCTATTGTTTTGTCTGTAGTCTGCCACTTATTTTGTCTGTAGTTTGCCTATTGTTTTGTCTGTAGTCTGCCACTTATTTTGTCTGTAGTTTGCCTATTGTTTTGTCTGTAGTCTGCCTCTTATTTTGTCTGTAGTCTGCCACTTATTTTGTCTGTAGTTTGCCTATTGGTTTGCCTGTAGTCTGCCACTTAATTTGCCTGTAGTCTGCCTATTGTTTTGTCTGTAGTCTGCCACTTATTTTGTCTGTAGTTTGCCTATTGTTTTGTCTGTAGTCTGCCACTTATTTTGTCTGTAGTTTGCCTATTGGTTTGCCTGTAGTCTGCCACTTAATTTGCCTGTAGTCTGCCTATTGTTTTGTCT